TATTTACTTATCTCTGCTCAACGAAGTTGCCAGAAAGTACCTTAGCATTGTGGGAACAAACGATCGAGAACAAGACGGAAATATCCAAGTGGGAGGATATGGACAAATTTCTGTCCAATAGATTCCAAACTCTTGAAACCGTCTCGGGCATAGCAGGTATTAAACATACCAAAACCCCAAAGCCCCACAATATTAGGCATACCAATGAAACACCGCAAAAAAGACTTGGCGCATTTCAAGCTTCTGTAGCCAAAACCATGTGCAAATTCTGCGAACTCACGGTGTCAAACAGAATAGCCTTCATTAAGGAGAATCATGGCTGCTTGAACTGCTCATCCTTTGGACATACTGTGTCAAGGTGTACATGCTCATTTAACTACAGCACCTGTCACCAAAGGCGCCACACGCTCCTGCATAATCAAGCAGCTCCGCCAAAAGCAGCCATGAACCAAAGGCAACAACCAAATTTTTCAGATGATACGCCGTCAACTTCTGCGCAAGCTCAGGCCACACGCAACTCTGAAAAAGGAAATAGAAGTCCGGCTAATAGACTCCGGTTCGGAATGTTCATTCATAACAGAAAGACTTAAACGCCGAATTAACCTACCATCCAAACGTTTGAATGCTCAGGTGTCAGGCATCAACAACATTGCTTCAGCCCAAGTCAAAGAAGCGTGTTTAATACAGTTGCGGTCACCGATTGACCCTTTAATAAACATAGGTACCACTGTCCTGGTTCTCCCACAGCTTACAGGAAATCTGCCGACTTGCCAAATCAATGCTATGACAAAGCAAGCGTTTCCGGATCTAGTTTTAGCTGACAAGAGATTCTTCATAAATGAGCAAGTTGATCTTGTACTAGGCGGCGATATTTACGCCCAAATAATATTGAGTGGCATACAAAAGAATGTTTTAGGTACCCTGCTTGCGCAAGAGACTGTATTCGGCTGGATACTAACCGGTCAAACTGAGGCAACAGGTCCAACGAATCAAAGCGTTTCATTCTTGAACGAAGTCACTCTAGATAAACAATTAGCGTCTTTCTGGGAATTAGAGGACATCCCAAATAACCATACATACAACAGAGAGGAAGTTTACTGCGAGGACCTTTACAAACGCACAACTAAAAGGAACAAAGATGGCAAATATACAGTATCGTTGCCATTCAAAATAGATTTTCCAAGGAGCGTGCGGTTAGGACCCCCTCTCAAGAGCGCTTGCTCTAAATTTTTTCGCAATGAGACACGTCTAGCAAAGGACCCACTCCTACAAACGGAGTATAATAGGGTACTGTCCGAGTACGAAACTTTAGGACATATGACGCAAATTTCCAGCCATATTCAAGCTGATGAGTGTGAAAATTATTTTTTACCTCATCATGCCGTCCGGAAGGAAGAGAGCACCACCACCAAAGCACGGGTGGTGTTCAATGCGTCGTGTCCGACAGCTAATGGGGTGAGTCTTAATGATGTGCTTCATCCTGGTCCAGTCCTGCAAAATGACCTCACCATCTTAACACTTCGGTGCAGATTCTATAAATATGTTTTTAATAGCGACATCGAAAAGATGTATCGCCAAATTTTACTTAATCCTACCGATACCAAGTATCAACGCATAGTTTTCCGCACAAGCCCAACAGAACCAATTAGTCTTCTTGAACTTAATACGGTAACTTTCGGGGTCAATTGCGCCCCTTACCTCGCTATTAGAACCCTGCTCCAATTAGCTGACGATGTAGACCAGTCACACCCCATGGCGTCGGACATATTAAGAAATTACATGTATGTTGACGATGTTTTAGCTGGCGGTCACACCATCGAATCCGCTATCAAAGCAAAAACCGAAATAACAATTGCACTGCAGTCTGCTGGGTTCCCCTTGAGGAAATGGACGTCCAATTGCAATGAAATATTAAAGGGAATACCAAAATCCCATCTACAGAAAGAAGACTTCTTGGACTTTGAAGACACCAGCACAGTCAAAGCTTTGGGTATCAGGTGGAACGCCCACTCTGACAATTTTTCCTTTACGGCCAAGCCAATAGAGGAACAGGTTAGCTATACTAAAAGGCAAATACTATCGGCTATTGCCAAATTATTCGGCCCTCTAGGATGGCTTGCACCAGTGGTAATTACAGCGAAAATTTTAATGCAGAATATATGGTTGGAAGGAACAGGGTGGGATGAAACCGTGTCACCTACGACCCTAGATCGCTGGAAAAATTTTAGGGAAAGCTACAGCAGTATCGAAAGAATTCGTATTCCGCGTTCGGTACACTTTTGCCCTGTGGCCAAGATCGAAATTCACGGATTTTGTGACGCCTCAGAGAAGGCATACGCAGCATCTATTTACTTGCGTGTCGAAATAAACAGCAAAGTATTCA